TATATATGTATATATGTATATATATATATACACATGGGTGTGGCATGATTGAAAGGGCATAATGAGACCAGGCTGCCGGTCAAACCCAGTTGTTCAGTATCTTGATTTCTTCAAATCAACCCACAGGGAAAATTGTGCATGGACTGTATATAATGTTTTATTATAAAGCAGCATTAATGTTCCATAGATTCAATAACAATTACAATTTTAGGTATATCTTATTAATTTGATTGTGTACATTATCATTCATTTTCTTTGACTGAACTAAGCAATACAGTTTAGAAAGTCATTACACCGGATTCCATGAGTGATTCAAAGTGTTTTACAACTGCTTGATAGTATCATGATATTCAGAACAGCTTCACATTTGAGATGAAGTGGTAGTTTCTTCAAATGGCCTCATGCCAAACTTGATTGAGTCCTGGGAAGTTTAATAGGTTAAATCACAGAAATTGTCTCAATGGATCCCTTTTTGTCTTTTAGCCAACATCACGGGGAAATTAAGAAGAAATATGGCTAATTTCACTATAAGTGGGTTTCTTCTAATGGGATTTTCAGCAAAGCCTGAGGTAGAAGTCACCCATGCTTCTCTGTTCTTGATCTTATACCTGGTGGCGGTAACTGGCAACATCCTCATTATCACCGTGACTTCCACGGACAGTAGTCTGCACTCACCCATGTATTTCTTCCTGAAACATCTCTCCTTCCTGGACCTGTGCTACATTTCCGTGACGGTGCCAAGGTCCATTTACAACTCTTTCATGCAAAATGGCTACATTTCCCTTGGGGAGTGCATGGTGCAGTGTTTTGCTTTTGTTCTCTGTGCTTGTGCTGAGCTGTCCATGCTGACAGTCATGTCTTATGACCGCTACGTGGCCATCTGCCTTCCACTGCGCTATGAAATCATCATGGATGTAAGCAAATGTGTCCACGGAGTCCTGGGAGTCTGGGTCAGCGGGGTCATTTCTGGAGCCATGCAAACAGCTGCCACTTTCTCCATGCACTTCTGTGGCTCCCATGTCATTCACCAGTTTTTCTGTGATATCCCCCAGCTCATGAAACTCTCTTGTTCTAATGAGATCGTCAACAACATTGGGGTCAGTTTCTTCTTGGTTCTTATGTCCTTTCTTTGCATTGTCTTCATTGGACTGTCCTACATACAGATATTCTCTACCGTGCTGAGGATGCCATCTGCTGAAGGCAGAGCTAAAGCTTTTTCTACCTGCCTTCCACACCTCGCAGTCATTATGCTGTTTATTACTACTGGCTCCTTTGAGTATCTCAAACCTCTTTCTGAAACTCCTAGCACATTGGACATTTTGCTGACTATCATGTACACAGTTGTGCCTCCAACACTCAACCCAATGATCTATAGCCTGAAAAATCAAGCCATAAAGGCAGCTCTATCAAAAGTTTTCCAAAGGAGAAAAGCTGACCTATTCTGTTGATTCACATCTGTTAATTTCGTTTCTTCATGGGGAGAAATGTTCCACATACATGAGGAAGCTGTCAAGTTAAATATATTGAGGCAAGTAAAAATTAACTAAGTTTATGGTAACCATATTTTTTATCTTTATGTGTTTTATGTCTGTCTACTATAACCATAATAATTATTATTGAAATAACGAATTGTTTCAAAGTTAAGCACAAATAGAAAACTTAATAGAATCACTACATTATCAGGAAATAGACATCTCTATTCCTTGCTATCTTTTCACACATGTAAGCTTTTCTGTTCCTTTGAAATAGAAATGGTTACTATGAAAATATCTTTTTAAAAAATAATTTATTATCAATATATTGCATGGTTGTGAACTCAAAATACCATGTAGAATTTAATTCATCCATTCTGCACATATGTCTGTGTTCCAGTTTGGAGAATAGATTTCTGATGATGAGAACAATTAAGAAATGTCTTTGAAAGAAACAGACTATAAAAATGTGTAGACATGCAAACTGCTGACCTCATGTAAGTGAACATACAGATTAAAACTAAGAAAACTTGAAAAATTGATGACTCCTTCAATTGACTATGGAAAATCATATAGCTACTTTTCTATATCTGAAGGATTGGTATAAATTTGCAGGATTATGCCTGTATTTTCACATATTGATTAAAGAAATAAAGAAGTGGTAAATCACAAAGACAATTTGGTTCAGTATGAGAAAGAAGTCTAAAATATTTTCACTTTTAATTATGCTTTTTAAAAAATCTCACATGTGGCTTATGGTCTGATTATAATGAAATTTTATAATGTCTAAAATTCTGAGTTGAAAGAAATAACTTGCTCTTTTCCAGTATTTATGCACAAATTTGACACTACTACATAGCATTTTAAGTTAATTTGTTTATTTTTTATGAAATGCATATTATATCAATTAAATGTAAATTTTACAAATTTTTTGCAAGTGTGGTTCAAACTAAATAAGATTTAACAGCTAGACTCACACTTCTTCAGATGTATAGCATCATTTGATTGCTTCATAATTAATAGTACTGAGTATTTTAGTTTAAATGGGTAACAAATTTTTGAGTACAAATGCATAGCTTATACTTGTTTAATATTTGTTCATAAAAATGAGATGAAATGCTATTTTAGTGTGTTTATTTGCTACAAATTTTCCTATTAAAATACGCTGGTGAAGAAGTTCTATTACCTTTTCCTTTGGGATTAGTATATTTCAGATAAATTTTTATGATATATTATGAAATGACAACAGTGATTTACATATGGTAATTAATATGAACTGTCAACCTGGTGTTTCCTAACTTTATTGATTGAAATTAAATACTTTTTAGAAGAAAATAATGGATGGTTCCTCTCCCATGTAAAGTAAAATTATAATAGCACAGTAATAAATATATTGCACTTGGAGTATTATATGAACAGATCAATGAAAATTAACATTAATATTCATTTATATATATGAGTACATAAACTGCATAAAACACTTAAAATAAAAATTTAAGGCACCATACTCCCAATAACAAGGTCATACATTTTAAAATATATTTTATTAACTTAATTTTATTCTTTTTTCTTTTATTCAAATGGGAAATAATCAGATTTATCATCTTCCTTTCTCATGTTTCCATGAGTGTAAATCATTTACATTTACTCACAAAGAACTACTTTCACATTTATATTGATGCGATTTCTTCAAGTAACTTCATGCCTGCCTTGACTGAGTCCAAAATGGGTTAAGTGGCTCAGTAACATATTGCAAATTTCCAATGTTTTTCATCTTTTCTTGTAGCAAATATCATTAGGATAGTAAGAAGGACTATGGCTAATTCCACCATGAGTGGGTTTCTTCTGATGGGATTTTCTGCCAAGCCTGAGCTAGAACTCGTCCATGCTTCTCTGTTCTTAGTCTTGTACCTGGTGGCAGTGACTGGCAACATCCTCATTATCACCGCAATTTCCAGGGACAGCAGTCTGCACTCACCCATGTATTTCTTCCTGAAGCATCTCTCCTGTTTTGGACTTGTACTACATTTCTGTGACTGTGCCAAGGTCCATTTACAACTCTTTCATGCACAGTGGCTACATTTCCCTTGGGGAATGCATGGTGCAGAGTTTTGCTTTTGTTCTTTGTGGATCAGCTGAGCTGTCCATGCTGACAGTGATGTCCTATGACCGCTACATGGCCATCTGCTTTCCACTGCGTTATGAAATCATCATGGATGTCTGCACGTGTATCCACAGAGTCCTGGGTGTCTGGATCAGTGGGGTCATTTCTGGAAACATGCACAGAGCTGCCACATTCTCTATTCACTTCTGTGGTTCCAAGATTCACCAGTTCTTCTGTGATGTCCCCCAGCTCCTGAAACTCTCTTGTTCTAATGAGTACAGCAGTGACACTGGGGTCAGTGGATTCATTGTACTTGTGGCCTTTCTTTGTGTCACCTTTATTGGACTGTCCTACACCCAGATATTCTCTACTGTGCTGTGGATGCCAGCAGAGCTCAGGCCTTTTCAACTTGCCTTCCCCACCTTGCTGTTATCATTTTATTCATTTCATCTAGTTTATTTGAGTTTTTCAAGCCCCCTTTTGACTCTCCAAGTACACTGCATGTTTCCCTCACTGTTATGTACACAGCTGTGCCCCCAACACTCAACCCAATGATCTACAGCCTGAGAAATCAAGCCATGCAGGTAGTTCTAAGAAAGGTTTTCCAAGTAAGAAAAGCTGACCTTTTAAGTTGATGCACTTCTGTTCATACTTGTTTGAGAAAAGAAAAAAAAATATTTTGGAAAAACTGTAGACTTAAGTAAAAAGAGACAAAGAGAATGAATGAGTTATTAAAAAACCATGAATACGGCCCTCCCTGGTGGCGCAGCGGGTTAATGCACTGCACTGAGAAACTAAAGCCACTTCTGCACGAGTTCGATC